TGATATGAGTTTCACCCCTCTTAATAGTACGGCTATCGATCCTAAATGTGATCACACTCGCTAAGTGTCTCGATCACTAAACCGAAAAGCTCCTATCAATTTCATCTTTGCCTTGAGCTTTTTGTTTTTCTCTTCTTTTCCAAGTCCAAGCACTTGATCATCACCATGGCATCACCATCATCATGATCTTCACCGTTGCTTCACCACTGGGAATAATGCTACCTATCTCATGATCACTTAGATGAACTAGGTTAGCACTTAGGGGTTCATCAATTCACCAAAACCAAACTAGAGCTTTCACACGACCAAATATTTAGTTGTGCTTGGTGTAATCGACACATTTGTATTAGCCATAGTAGCGGAAGTACATGTTTGAACCAAAGTTGTTAGTGAGCCCCTCATCCCAAAGTGATTGACAAAGGTGAACTAGTCCTTGGTGGTGAAGGAGGTGGCATAGCCTCTCGGCCTCGATGATGAAGGAAAGTTGCCTTAGGCGCTGATGCCAAAGGTGTCGATGAAGGCTCTCAAGTCGTTGTGCGAATATGATGGCAAAGCCGCTCTTGCCAAAGCGTTGGTGGTGGCGAGTCATAGCGGTTCGCCAAAGATGATGACAAAGCCCCACCTGCTGAAGTGTTGGTGGAGGCGTGTCATTGTGGTTTGCGAAGATGTTAGCGATGACCCTCCTACAAAGGTGTTTGGCAGAGGTGATGTTGGTGTGGATGCCGAAGGTGTCAGCGAAGCCCCTCATGTCGATGTGTCGACAGAGGCAAGTCATTTTGGTTTGCTAAAGGTTTTGGTGATAGCCCTCCTGCAAAGGTGTTTGGTGGAGGCGATGTTGGTGTAGTCATCGTAGATGTTGGCGAAGCCCTTCTTGTTGAAGATTGTTGGAGAAGTCATGTGAAAATGCGCTCGAGTTGAGAGGGTGCATTTTTTAGGGACTTAGGTGAAAGCCTTATGTTTGATTTTGGTAATTGAGTGGCAACTAGTGGACCAACCTTTGTCTTAAGTATTGATTAAGCTAGGTGATGTTCACACCAAGAGTTGAGCAAGATGGCATCCATGGAGGTGATGAAGGAGGCCACAAGATTATCAAGTGTTCAACATCTAGAAAAGAAGAAAGAAAAAACAAAACCCTATGGTTAACAGGGGCATTGATGTCTAGTTGCCTATGGTTGCTATGAGCTTGTATTGAGTTATCGATCTGGGAGCTCCCTACCCCGCCTTATATAGCCTAGGGGGTAGGGTTATAGTTCGAGTCCCGATCGGTTTACATGAAAGGTTTCCAAGTTTGTTACAAGGAAATCTGCGTACAAAAATGATTTATTCCTTACACATCTCGGTCTCCAAGCTCCATACCTCTAGTTGCTTGTTCACCAAGTTTGATGATGTACCCTATCCTAGTTGGGCCTCATATTCAATGTCTTCATCCCACCCCAGTTGTAACGGGCTCTTCTATGGGTGGTGAGGAACCATGGATCCATACCACTGACAGTCAAAATCCAACGGTCAAAACTAAATCTAGACCTTGTCGTTAGACCCCCCCTAAGCTCTAGTGCTCCCCTAGCCCTAGCACCGGACAAATTCGATGGGTCTAAAGAGCTTGGGCGTGCTATTGAGGTCTCCGTGCAAATGTCAAAAAACCTTTTCTCTAGTGCTAACATAGTGCACCCACCCGAGAAACCCGGTGGTGCCTGTAAGGTTCTACAAAACTAACCCGAGAGTTCATGTGACACTAAAAAAGTTTGGTGCTTCCCTTGTACTAGCACCGAAGAAAGTGGCTTCAACATTCAAATATCCTGCGTGCAAGGTGAATGCTACATGTCCCCCATGTGGAGCCTAAGCCTTGGTGCTCTGACTTGGTCATCACCGGATAAATCAAGTGGCCCACTAGTCAGTGCAAACAAGTCAGTGCACAAAGGTTGGGGGCCTGAGCTCTAGTGCCCCTGAGGGCTATTGATATTACCTTTGATATACATAAGCTCTAGTGCACAGAGGCCGGTAAAATCAAAGCCCTATTGATATACCTTTGCCTTTAATTAGGCTTACTTCCAACTCCATCTTCTTCAACAATGTTGAGCACTTGCATCTTGTGGTGAGCATCATCCCCACTATCTTCTAGCCTTGATCAACTCCTTCATGTGGACCTAGCACAATCATCTCTATTGAGAGCATTAGTTCACTAGTTGTCACTCAATTACCAAAACCAAACTAGAGCTTTCAATCTCTTCCTTTTTGGTAATTATATTAATGACAACCTTAACAAAGATACGGAATTAATTGAAATTCCAAGCTTCACACAAGTGTAAATTTCTAACTTGGTTTAGATTTTTTCACTTATCTAAGCAATAAGACCACTTGAAAAGAATTGGATAAGCTTCACAAAATCCTACTTGGTAGTGTTAACTCCCTCTACATATGTGCTAAAATGGTTTGGTTTCAAGTTTGCACATATGCTAGATTGAAGTTGTGGTAGAATTAACACTACTAAATGATGCTAAGGTATTTGTGATAGAAATGTATCTTTATAGCGTGAATACCACTTTAAAAGTCCATCCTTAGTACCATGTTAGCTAGACATAAAAAACATTATATACCACGTGAGATCAACATTAAAAGCATGACTCTAGTTAATATTTCAAATAACAACTATAAGCTTTAGAAACCACTTGTAAAAATATCTGACTAGGTACTACTATAGACAAGTCATTAGTCAAGCTTATGTCTAGCAATCAACAATTCACAACAAGCATATTATTCGAATTAAATAACAATCCATGTGCAAGCACAAATATGATTTCAAATACAACAAATTAAACATAAGGTTCATGAGCTTAATCACCCTACTTGTGTGCTTATTCAAACTTTTGATCCCCTTCAATTCTCCAGTCTTGTTCATCATGATATCTTTGTGCCCACATTGTCCCCCTTTCTCAATTTCCACACAAAGATGACACCACTTGAGATTGATGCTTAAAATCATGATGTAGACACCACACTTTGGTGGAGATGATCACTTAAGATTGAGGATCACTGGATCTTGATTGTTTCCATGAGCTTCCTTCACATTGGCTTGAACTAATTGATTTGCATAAGCTTCAAACTCGGTTTAAACCCTCTTCAAGCTTCTTCACATGCCCATGAGCGGTTATCTTATTGAGGTTGAATTTGTCACTCTTCTAGCTCACCAACTTGATTCAAACACTTGGGTTCACATACTCTTGAACAAGTCTTATGCTACCACACTAGTATCATACAAACATAGAAGCAATAGTTTAGTTTGTAGGACATGAACTCAAAACATGCAATATTTGCATTGTATGTCCTTAATGTCAAAAATATGTTCTGTGTGCACTAACCACATGTAGTAAGGTATGTATGCTCTTGCGCAACTAATTTTACCTTTGCTTTGGTCGGAGGAGGGGTTAATCATATATACGGTGTTCTTTAAGACATGTTGGAGAAGTCAAGAATGTTCAACTCATTTCTTAACTTGCAATATCTTCATCAAGTGGCTTGGTGAATTATATCAACTAGTTAATCATCGGTGCCGACACTCTCAAATATCAATCTTGATATCCCTCTTTGTTTGGTGATCTCTTAAGAAGTTATGGTGGCAAATATCAATGTGCTTGGTTCTAGAATGTTGAGCCAGGTTCGTGGCTATCTTGACGGTACTCTCATTATCACATAGCAATGGCACTTGATCATTTCTAAAGTCTGACAAAGTTACTCTCATCCATACCAATTATGCATAAGAACTACCCACGGACATATACTCTACCTCGGCCGTTGATAATGTAACCGAATTTTGCTTCTTTGAGGACCATGACACAAGTGATCTTTCAAGTAATTGATATGTGTGGGAAGTGCTCTTCCTATCAATCTTGCACCCCACATAGTCGGAACCGGAGTAACCAACTAGCTCAAATTATTGTGCTCCTCTAAGGTACCACAAGCCAACATTGGGTGTATGCTTCAAATACCTCAAATCCCCTTATTAGCCATGGTCAAGTAAAATTCCTTAGGTGAGGCTTGAAACCTTTCAGACATGCATACACTAAACGTGATATCCGGTCCTAATGCGATCAAATAGAGTTTAGATCTAGTCCTAATTGGCTTATTATCCCACTCATGATCCGAACTCACAACCCATGCTCATACGAGTCGTTATTATAATAGCGCATGACACAAGATGTAAATTTCGTTGGAACGTGCGGACATGTTTGCCCCAGGTTGACCATTCTAGATTACTCTTGCTCGATCTATGTGGCATGCAATATGCCAATATATATGTCCTCAGGTCGTTGATGTCACAAAACACAGAGCTGATCAGACATGAGCAAATTATAGCTTCCTCGCTGCAAAGGCAGCAGCTAGCCGCTGAGCCTGAGGCTGGCAGCAAGGCCAAGGAACCATTTATGCATGCACCGGCACCGCGCGAGCGCAAGAGATGGAGGAGAGGAATGGTCTGGAAGAGGCCGGGCGATCGTCCCTGCATCTCTATCGATCGACCTGTCGTGTGGAGGCAGCTAGGCCAACCACAGTCCACGGGAGCCAGGTGCCCAGGTCTCTCCCAGGACAGGAGTGATCGACGACGGACGGAGGCTGAAGGCTGAGGCTGAGGGGAGCAACAGCAACAGCAACCAACTCCTTCCTTTGGGCGTCACGGGAGTTCGATTTCCAGCGGAGAAAAAGTTCCCGCCTTTTCCACTTTCCCCAACGCTCCCCCTTATCTCCTCCCTCCTCGCCTCCGCGCAACCAACCACGCGCCACCTTGTTCTCTCTCTCTATCTCAGCTAGAGCTCGAGGCACCAGAGAGCTTGCTTGCATGCGCGTCGTCGTACGGCGCTCGTCCTCGTTGGGTCGTCTTGTGTTGTTTCTCGTCGGAGAGAAGAGGGAGTAGCTAGGAGGGAGCTAGGAGTTAGTAGGGATCGATCGGCCGGGAGAGGTAGCCGCCGGTCGGGGATCGGATCGGAGGTGGTCCGTATATATACATGCGCATGGAAGGGAGCGGAGGAGGCGGAGGCGGAGGCGGAGGCGGCGCCGGCGTCGGAGGGTGCCTGGGTCTGGGCCACGGCGGGGAGGCGCACATCAAGGGCACGCACACGCACGGCGGCCGCTACGTGCAGTACAACGTGTACGGCAACCTCTTCGAGGTCTCCGCCAAGTACGTCCCGCCCATCCGCCCCGTCGGCCGCGGCGCCTTCGGCATCATCTGGTGCGTACCTTCCTCCCCCTCGCGTTCGTTCTCGCTCGCTTCTCTCCGGCACCTTTTTTTTTCGTCAGAAACTTTGCATGGAATCCTTCTTGCCTTCTTGGTCAAGTCTTTGCAATGGACCCCACCACCACCCGGGTGGCAGTGCATCGCCTATGCAAGAAAAAAAATCGTCAGAAATTTTTTTCACAAGTCTGAATGTTTTACCTTCAGCACGTCTCATTAAAGCTACCGAAAAGGAAAATAATCTCTCCTAATAACATGAAAAAAGATGGATCCTTTCTAAATTCTTTTATTTGTGAAATTGAATCGTTGTCATAAAAAGGGTGTACAATTACATACTTCTTTCATCTCAAGTTTGTATTGATGACTACTGGCTGATGATTAATGTATGCATATGTTAGACTGTTAGTCGATGGTTACTTGTGTGTATGTATGTATTCCTTTTGTGCATGCAGTGCTGCTGTCAATGCGCAGACTCGTGAGGAGGTGGCCATCAAGAAGATCGGCAACGCGTTCGACAATCAGACCGACGCAAAGCGCACTCTCCGAGAAATTAAGTTGCTTAGGCACATGAAGCATGAAAATGTGAGTCATCCTTAATTTCTCTCTACCTTGTGATGAGCCACGTGACGATCTCTGTGGTCGTGAATCTTCAGATAAAGATACTCCATATATACTAATTACTTTTTTTCAATGTATGTATTTAACTATATATATGGCTAATAACTCTGTAGCTCATTAGCTCATTGCAAAGGTAAGCCGTACGTCCAGAGGAGATCTGCCAAAATTTCTGGTGATTCTCTCTCGATGCAAAACCATTCTCCTTAATTCGTCTAGGCAGGAATTATTTTCAATCGTTGTGAATGTTAGCTACGTATAAAACAACTATCTTTGTAGCTAGATGATATATCCCTTTTCCTATGGATATTCAATTTGATATAGTTCTTCTCGTGCCACTCGCTCGGGTTTGATGCATCATCAGCCAATAGACTTAAACCACTTCTGATGATCGGCTTGTAACAACACCACATCTACCCCTTTTTCTGCAGGTTATTTCAATAAAGGACATCATACGCCCACCTAGGAGGGAGAACTTCAACGATGTTTATATCGTTTACGAGTTGATGGACACTGATCTTCATCACCTTCTACGATCAAACCAGCCACTAACTGATGATCATTGTCAGGTACAATGTTGTGTCGTCTGTTTTCTGTTTCCATTTTTTACATCAGAATCCTGTATGTAAGTTGAATATGGTAATTAATCTGACTGTTAATCTTCCCTCATGCAGTATTTCGTCTACCAGCTGCTCAGAGGACTCAAGTATGTACACTCAGCAAACGTCTTGCACAGAGACCTCAGGCCGAGCAACCTGCTGCTGAATGCCAAATGTGACCTGAAGATTGGGGACTTTGGGCTGGCAAGGACCACAACTGAAACTGACTTCATGATGGAGTACGTCGTTACACGGTGGTACAGAGCGCCTGAGCTCCTGCTCAACTGCTCAGAATATACTCAGGCTATCGATATGTGGTCGGTAGGCTGCATCTTCGGTGAAATGGTCACAAGAGAGCCTTTGTTTCCTGGAAAGGATTATGTTCATCAGCTTTTGCTAATAACTGAGGTATAGTTGCCAGTTCACAGTCCAAGATTTTGTTTTCATTCTCCTCACTCTTCGGGCAATCTCCTGATCCATTTTGCTGAAGGACAACCTAATTTCAGATTAATAATGTCTAGACAGGTGAAAATAACAAGGTCTTATAAATTGGTTTAAGTGAAGTTTGGAATTTGCTCATTTGACATGTTTTTAAAAGCTAACATTTGGTCAAAACATGAAGCATATAATTATCTTGGTTTCTCAAGCTAACACCTGAATGGTAATGTCTCACAAGTCTTGTTTGTTCTTTACTTATATAACTTCTTCCTCTTCATTCTTTATGATTTAAAAGCTGGTAGGGTCACCTGATGACACGAGCCTTGGGTTCCTCCGAAGCGATCACGCCCGCAGATACGTGAGGTCCCTTCCTCAACACCCCAAGCAACAATTTCGTGTGCGGTTCCCCACTATGTCTAGCGGTGCCATGGATTTGCTTGAGAGGATGCTCGTGTTTGATCCGAGCAAGAGGATTACTGGTAATCTTGCAGCCTTGCATGAACTTGCTGCATTAATTATCATATAAAATGTGTGACATGCCTGTCTGGATGCGGTTGATTTTGCTGGGATATAGGGAAAGAATGAACCACCCATCGTTTGAAATTCTGCACTTTCAGTCCCATATGTGAACTATATGATGACCCTCAAAGAATTGTTGAAACTGAAGATTATTTTCATGCAACTATCATTCTTGCATTCTGAGGGCAAAAGGGCCAATCTCTTGAAATATACTAACCTTTTGTTGCTTTTCTTTTGGTGGAATTGCAGTTGATGAGGCTCTATGCCACCCATACCTGGCATCCCTTCATGAGACAAACGACGAACCCGTCTGCCCAGCGCCTTTCAGCTTCGACTTCGAGCAGCCATCGCTCACCGAAGAAGATATCAAGGAGCTCGTCTGGAGGGAGTCTCTCAAGTTCAACCCTGACCCAATCCACTAAATAGTTCCCTGTGTAGACACGAGCAAACCAGGATGGCATGTCTATCAGCTCCATATGGGGACGAAAGGCAGGAGGTAATTGCAACAAGATGAGTGTTCGCATCTCGTGGCTTGTCAATGGCGACACCCTAACGTCGAAAACATTGGACATTTATGAAACATGCTTGATCAATAATTTGTAGTGGAGAAAGCTGGCAGCTTATCTGCATCTTGTTAGGTTGTATCTATCTTCCTTCGGTTGTATGCTTAAGAAATGTAGGTAGGAGCATGTCACTGCCTATGGACCATGGTACCGCAGTTGTCCACACACTACAGACAGCAGCTCACTACGTCACCTTCCAGCCGTTCCTGTTATGTTCTTAAATCTTGATGAACATAGAACCACATGATAAATGCTGTGTGACTACTCACCTTACCCGAATTCGTTCCAGCAATTGGCACCGTTCCCTTAGTGTTACACAAATATTCCTCATACAACAGAACGTTCTTCAAACCAAGCGTGTGATACAAGATTACACACCAAAGCTTTTGAATAGCATCAACAACATACAGGCAGAAGTAGCAACGCATTTGTTTTAAGGGCACATGGCATCAAGCTTCAATAGACACATGAACAGAACAGGTAGTCATTGCATCAGAAATAGACGGGACAAGCAGACACAGAACTGGAGAGAACTGGAGATATGATGCCGACTCTTTTCCCAGCTGGATGAACGCAAATGATTACGTCTGATGATCCAATCAGGAGCAACAAAAAGGAAAAGAGAAAAGAGAAAGAGATAAAAGGCCCAGCTCACAGTAAAGACAGTTCGACTTAATAAAGTTCTGGACAGAAAATCATGATGTCTTCTCTAAAATGAAGGTGCACTCTCGTTGTTTGTACACGCAACTTGGCGAACCCAGATACAGTTTAAAAACATAAAAAAAAATAGTATTTGCATCTTTTCAATGATCGACTTGAAACTTCTGTATATCGCTTCACAGGGGTCCTGTCACAGATACAAATTAAGAAATAGGCGACAAGCTCCATCAAACCTCAGAAAGGTCAATAAGCACTAGTGAGTGCATTGAAAAAATCCTATATGAAATCCAAAATGGAAATAGAAGACTAGAAGTATATGCAACATAGATCAGCCAGTACTAAAAAGAATGGAAATTGGAGTTATGTTGTTAGCAGCCTGCCAACTTTGGCTATGCCATAACTATCAGCAGACAATTAAACTGCTTAATAAGTTGGGCCTGCTAACCGGTAATTAAAAAACATGAATGTTTACAAAAATATCGGATGACTCTAAAAAATCCACAAGTAAAGTATAAATAAAACGAACAATACTTTAAGAATCTAAAATTGTAATATTCTATAAACCATAAGAAATTAAAGAACTACACAGGATGCAACATGTATCACAAAAGACTGCATAATGCAGAGATTGCAAGAATCCTGTAGTGAACAACTGGTAACAGTCTCTTAAAGAGCATATGGACATCCTATGTAAAACAAAACAAGAAATCTGTGACTTACATCCGTGCACCTTACACCTTACATCCTATGTAAACCAAAACAAGAATTATTCCTTGCAACAGTCCAGGAGTTATGATGTAAACAACACACATCGGACATGAAGCCCCAAATGATTGCTGATGGCATTAGTGTACAAGATGTCAGACATACCACAATGCAATGCTTGTCATTTGAGGGCTATATCTTGGCATCCATAGAACTCAGCCAAACCTAACAGCAGATGAAAACTATCAGACATTAAAACTACTAGATGATACAATAGGAAATGGATTGTGGATAAAAGAATACCTGGCTGCCAGCAGAGAAAATGGTCCTTCAGGCTACATAAGTTGACACCAGTAACCTATGTAATATTTAAGTGTCAAAGCTAAGGCAAATACAGTCACACAGCAATGGAAACGAAGTGTAATCTCCTGCATGTCAGCTTAAGACTTAAGTATTTTGCTGTTACCACAGCTAATAATACCAGACCAATATAGTCATCATATCATTTGCCACTTTGTGCTGGAATAAAATTGCAACGTCGGGAGAACAAAGAACTGTTTCATGATTACCCTTCTATCATCTCATATATTTCTGCATTATTTTAGGCAAAAAGGAATGTCAATAAAACAATTCATGCTGAAAATGAATATAATTCCAGACTTTATCAGGCGACCATGAATATAATTTCACTATCCTGGAACATGTGGACCAGCTAGAAGCTCCTCACCATGCTGCTCTAATTTTCACTGGATGTTCATGTGCATAAATATATGACCTTCGATTAGCAGATCCTCAGGGCTGCCAGAATAGAGGTGGCTAACATAATATGACCTGTCCATCCTAATAATATAAACAAATTGTTGTACTTGCAGTCAATTGGGGAGAAGAGAAGTGGGGGAAAAGGTGCAAAATCGGGGGTCTATATATTATCAAAACAAACAGTTGAGAACTGCTCCAAGACTTTAAAGACAAAACTTCTTTACAACAATGTGATACATTCTATCATCACTACAGAGATCAAAGTCTTGAAGTCCGGTTACACACAGCTCTGCTTCATATACTCTGCCCTGAAGAAACTGGCCAAGCCCCGTGGTCCTCACGCTGTCAGCCATTTTCTTTCACTGCATGACCATGCACCATAAAACCACTTGTGCCTATTGCATGAAACCTTTTAAGGCTTCACATGTACTGATCAAATTCGTTGGTGCAAGATAATTCTGATTTATCAGTTCATCACTCAGAAAATTCTTCTCCACTATATTGGTCAATATCTTCTACTCGAGAACGCTTTGGATGCTCATCAAGATCATCATCAACATGAGATCTTCGTGGCTTTGAATTCACCTACAAGGAAGAAAACCTTGAGTTAAAGGGTACAGGTAATGCAAAAACAACTGTTTTCATTCTTTTTCATTTCATGTGTTGAGTGGTAATGCATTCTATTTTTATCGGCATTGTAGGATTTTGTGGAGAGGCAAAAGTACATTTGCATAAAGTGCCCCATCTCATTCAATGCGTGTTACATTAAGAATCCAACCCTTTGTTCAGAGGTCACTATTTAACAATGAATAGTTTATTACACAAATTTTAATGAGGAAGCAAGAGAGCAATATTCAATAGGGGTGTATGGTCGTCAGGTGTTTTTCTTAGTAGTGTGCTCTCGTGTAAAAACATGACAAAAAACAAATAGAAAGCATGAAATGTCCTAATATAGTGATCACAGAAAGCGAGTGATTGTAAAAGCAACAATGTTAATTAGTAGCAAGAAGTCAAGCAAGCAGACCTAAGGTTTGGAGAGAAGATAGAATGCTTACATAATACTTAGCTGGTTTAGTTTAATTTTTAACTAAAAGAAAGATTTTATAATGAATAATAAGGAAGACTGAGCCATACATGCAAGCCAGAAGATTCTCCGCGCTCCATGGTACCACCATGAACTGTTTTGCTCACAGTAATACGGGAAGGCACAGGAAAATGCTCAATTTCATCCCCAGACCTCCCCTCCTTTGCTTTCTTCTTCTGCAAAACTAGCTTAGTAGGAAGAGGCTGAAAAACAAAAAGATAATGGCATATGTTACACTAGTGTCAAATGAATCATTCTCAGAAACCAAATGTAAATCATTCTCAGAAACCAAATGTAATACAGAATGCACAAAACCAATTACCAAATATTTTGCACCCTCCTTATCAAATGTGACAAGGTATGTTGTAGGATCATCTTTATCATCTCCTCTTACCTGAATCATGAAACAAGTGTGTATGTACAATGGATGAGTATGATGCCACCAGCTCATAGACACAATTAGAGAATAATTAGGAAAATACACATACATCCCAGTGATATTCTCTTAGCCAGGAATACTGGATATCATCGTCATCATCCAAGTCTCTGGTAAGCTGATGAAATCACAATAGTCACCATCAGATTGATGTAATAGGTCACTTTTTTTAATAGAAATGTACCAGAGATGAATTCATACCTCATGAGGTGCTGGGGCCATGTATGCCAAAAACTTCTCTTGTTTTGCAGGGTCTGAACCACTTACATTAAAACTTTTCATCACAGCCTGCCATGAAAACATGAAATGGTTACAAATACAAGCAAAGGCATTATCTAGGTGTAATATCATCAGAGTCCAAGTAGGGTGCAGGTGTCCTATTCAGCAAACTCTAGAAAAAAGGATTCAGGGATTCATCATTCATTTTAAATAAATTTAATTAGAGATCAATTTTATTTCTACAAACATTTACTGTCATGTCACGCTCCTGAGTCCTGGCTGATAAATATGCCATGGATGAATCCAGACATACATGATGCATCGCAGGTTTTAAAAGGGAAAGAAAAAAAAACTGAGAATAGATGAAGATATTCATTATGGGGCTGTCATTTCCTGGCCCACTAGCCCACCTCTAACCATGATTTGCGCTAAACCCTCATGCAACCAGCAGCTATCATATTTCTACACACACACACACACACCCAAATCCCCCTGTGCTACTTCTCTCTTCTTCCGCAACAGTGCTGGTGCCAGCCTAAATTCCTCACTGCCATCCTCACAATGAAGACTACCCAAATAGAATCGATGCCCCTTATTCTCCTTGTGTGTCCAATGCTCTCAGTTTTGCCAGAGGAATCTCAATGGATTTGACTGGCCCTGCACATAGCCCTGTCATGGCTACGGTTCTCTTTGCCTCCTAGACCAGGCGACTGGCCGCCTTCCCCTTCCCTTCTCTATCTTGCACTCTTCTCTCACTCCCTGGCCCTCCCCTATCTCTTTGAACCTTCAGTTTTTGCATTTGATGCTGCTCCGAGGTGTCCAATAAAACTATATAAGTCTCACCGTGTCTGGCGATACAAGACAGTGTGCCAAAAAAAAAAGGGGGGCAAGTCCCTGTAACGCTGATCTCCATCTAGAATTCACAAGACAGTGGGCATGCATTGCCATTAAGTAAGAAAGCCTAAGGCAGAGGAAACTTGAGGAAACAGAACTCAC